GTGTGTGTGTGTGTGTGTGTGTGTGTGTGTGTGTGTGTGTGTGTGTGTGTCCAGTGGATTGTTGCCGGGGCATGGGCTAATTCGTCGTGTTCCATGTGACTGGCGACCTCGATAGGGCATCCCAAATTAAAGTATTTTCAAAGCAGTTGATATGTAAGCAGTAGATATTATATCTTATTGAATAAGTGGATTTTTTTATGTTTATTTCTCTTCTCAGTGAATATTACTTCAGTATAGAAAATTTGGAACGAGACTTCTTTCTTCGGAGAAAGATGGATGAACAAGGTTTCTTGCCTATATCTCTGATTGCTGGTTTTCACCGTGTTCAGGCTCTCACCACAAACCTTAATCTCATCTTAGAGGTAATTATTTATTTTAAAACTGTTTTTTACCCAAGTTTTCTGTGAACCTGAGACTAGGGTAAAACAGCTATAGTCTCAGCTACTTGAGGGACTGAATTGGGAGAATCACTTGAGCCTAGGAGGCCGAGACCAACTTGAACAAAAAGACCCAACATCAAAAAAAATTTTCAATCCTATCTGTATTTGCTTAAAACTGAGACAGCATCTCATGACTTTTCTTCATTTAAGAAAACCTAAATAAATGTCACCTTGGAAAACCTTCAAAGAATTGCTGAGGATGCTGCCACCTGTTTTAAGATCAATCCTTCACACTTTGTTTTGTTTTTGTTGGTATGTCTGAGATTAGGTTTAAAACGTCAATAGGTAGCATAGGCTGGCTTCAAACTTGAGATTCTCCTGCCTTAGCCTCCTAAGTGCTGGGAACATAAGCCTGCACCACCATGCCCAGCAAGCTTTGACTTTCTTTAGTAATCTTGGTCCTTTCATCTTCAGATTGCTATAAAATAGCGTATATTCCTATTTGATTTTTCATATGCTGCACAAAGGCTAATTTAAAATAGACTTAGTCTCTTATCTGTCTAGTTTCTAGAAATGTTTTTTAGCATTTTATTTTTTCTTCTGTTTCCTACATACATAGCAATCAAATTACCTTATGTAGCCAATACCTTTTCCTATGCATAATCCCTGGCAACCACTAATCTTTTTGTCCCTATAGTTTCTCTTTTTTCAGAATAACATAAAAGTTTTAGAGTTTGTAGCCAATGTTTCTGATTTCTTTCAGTTAACATAGTGCTTTTGAAATTTATCTATGTTGTTGAATGTATCAGTGGTTTATTTTTATTTATTTATTTTTTGGTACCGGGGATCGAACTCAGGACCTTGTGCTTGCAAGGCAGGCGGTGGAACCATTGAGCTAAATCCCTGGCCCGGTAGTTTACTCTTTTATATTGCTGACAAGTATCTATCTCATGGAACAGCTGTGCTGCATTGTAGCCATCCACTTGTTAATGAGTACTTAGATTATGTCCAGATTTTGCAGATTATGAGTAAACCTAAAGGTTTTTGTGTGGACATATGTTTGTTGGGTAAATATCTACGATTGTGATTGTTGGAACATATAGTAAATTGTGTGTTTATCTTTATAAGAAACTGCTAGCCTATTATCTGAACTGGCATTCCCACCATTGGGTATGAAACTTGTTACTCCACAGCTTCTGCAGCACTTGATATTGTCAGCTATTAAAATAATAGATATGTAATCCAGGTGTGGTGGTGCATGCCTATGATACCAATGTGTGGGAGGCTGAGTCATGAGGATCAGGCGTTTGAAGCCAGCCTGGGCTATGTGGCAGGACCCTGTTTCCAAAAAAAAAAAAAAAAAGTACTGGTTTCTCATTATGGTTATTTTGCATTTTCCTAATGAATTTGGAAGTGTTTGTTACCTGTATACTTTGTGTTGAAATACCTGTTCAAAGCCAGGCATAGTACTGCATATCTGTAATCCCAGCACTCTGGAAGCTGAAGCAGGAAGATCACAAGTTTGAGACCAGCCTGGGCTGTATAGTGAGACTCTCAGTAAAAGGGAGTAGGGGGATATGTCTGTGTGGTAGAGCACTTATTTGCCTACCATAAGCAAGGCCCTGAGTTTGATCCCTGGCACAGAAGAAAAAAGTCAATTTTTTATAAAAAGTTTTGGATATGGTGGTGCCAACCTGTAATCATAACACTCTGAGAGATTCAGGTAGGAAAATTTCAAGTTTAAGCCAGCCTGGACAACTTAGTGACTTAGTAAGACCTCATCTCAAATAATAAAAGGTCTGGGGATGTAGCCCAGTGCAAACTCCCTGGGTTCAGCTTCCAGTACTGTAAATGAATGAATGAAAGAATGAATAGGAAAAGAATAAAAGTGAAATACTGATTATTTGGGCCTTAGAAGGTTCATACAAATAGTATACTGTGGACAAATTTGAGGTAAAGACCTAGACTGAACAGTGTCAGACATATTTTTTATTCCAAACAAAATCTTGGTAATCATGAGTTCCTGAACAATTTATTGTGTACAATCAATATTTTTGGATACATGAGGTTCTTTACTGTATGAATATTAGTTTGGGTCCTTTTTTTAATCATTCAAACCTATTATGAATGACTACAAGTGGTGGAATACATGGATCCATCCCTTAGTGCTTGGTAGTGAGAAAGATTTACATTTGCAAAGAAAGGGAGTACAAGTTCTGAGAAACCACGAGTTTAGTCTATTAAGAATACAAGGCTTGGGGGCCGGGGATTTAGCTCAGTGGTTCTGGCGCCTGCCTCGCAAGTGCAAGGTCCTGAGTTCGATCCCTGTTACCCCCCCCCCCAAAAAAATGCAAGGCTTGGGCCGGGGATTTAGCTCAGTGGCTCCGCTGCCTGCCTCACAAGCCAAGGACCAGAGTTCGAGCCCCTTCACCAAAAAAAAAGAATACAAGATTTGGGGCTGGGGATGTAGCTCAGTAGTGCTGTGCCTGCCTGGCAAGTGTAAGGTCCTGAGTTTGATCCCCAGTACCAGAAAAAAAATAAAACAAGTCTTAAGATGAGAGTAATAGTTCTAAGGCTGACAGTTTACCAATTATGCTTCTAAATCCTCAATACTGTATTATACCATAAGTGTTATTTTATTTGCCCTTTCTTAATAAGAATTTTAAAAAAGAGGTTATAATAACTTGTATAGAGTATATATCTGGCAAGTTTCAGAATCGGAGTCAACTAGATCTAACAAAAGAAAGACACAAATAGCAAGAAAGTCACAGGACAAGAATCAAGAACACCAGTAAGCTAATAAATAAACAAAAGAAGAAGAACCAGAATCAACAAGTTTAGCTTTTTAGACCTACTAACAGGGCAGAAATGAATGTCATCCATAGTATTTTGCTTCTCTTGGTAGTTTTTTCAAGAGAGGAACGACTTGGGTGTATTCAAACACATATAAGATGAAGCTGATAGAAGTGACTAATGATTAAAAATATGATCAAGAGAAGGACTTCTTTGAAGACTAACAATAATAGCAAATGCGTACTTAGAGGTTACCACATAGGCCAGATAACTGTCATTAACAGTTAATTCTCATGACAGCCCTAGGAAGTATATATTATTATCATTATTATCATCAGTATCATTATTATTATTATTTTGGTACTAGGGATCAAACTCAAGGCTTTGTCCTTCCCAGGCAGGTGCAGCATCACTGAGCTACATCCCTGGCCCGGAAAGTATATATTATTGTTTCAGGACATTGTTCAAAGTTACAGGGCTGCAGATATACACATGTATTCATGTTCTTTTTTTGGGTGGTGGGGTAGGTAACCTGGGATCAAATGCAGGATTCTTGCACTTGCGAGGCAGGCAGGGCACCACTGAGCTTAATCCCTGGGCCATTCATGCTCTTGATATGTTTAATTGCAAAGCATAATAAAGCCTTATCTTCTTAACAAAAAGAGGATACATTTCCCACTATTATAAATTTAAATGCATAATGAATGTAACATGAATATAGGCTATTCTAAAATGTTTTTATTTTTCCAAGGAATTTCATTTAGTATATCATCAACCCACTAAAACCAATAATGCTAAGTATAATAATAACTAAAACTTCCTGTTAAATATTCCTTCCTTACAATGTGCTTAAGGGCTTAAAGAGTATATTCAGACCAAAAAAGCATACAGTAATAACATGAAAACAAAATTCTGAGAAAATTAATGACAATTTCATAGAAAATGATAGCTGAGCTGGACCTTTGCTGTAATAAAATGACAGTAATTAATAAGTTCATTCTGCTGTGTATCATAATTTTATTTTATTCCAGGAATAATATTTCAATGAAAAAGCAAGTGTTTTTTCAAATTACAATATGCAGAAACTTTAAATGTGTACTTAGGTCTTCAGGTGTAGCTTCGTGGTAGAGTGCTTGCCTAAGGCCCTGGGTTTGACAACCCAATGCCACAAAAGTAATCTATAATAAATAATTCCAGTAATGACATTCTCTGAAGAAATTATTTTCATAAAACAAAGAATCTGTAATTACCAACTATTTCATGTGGTTTTGCAAATCTAGTTTTTCCTATAGCTGATTTTTAAAATACAAAGTGCCATGCATGATACATACCAGTACTCAGGAGGCCAAGGCAAGAGGATTGCTGCAAGTTAAAGACCATCCTGGTCTACATGCATAGTTGAGTCAAAGCCAGTGTGAACTATAAAGCGAAACATTGTCTCAAAAAACAAAAAAACCCCATAAAGTATAGTTATTTAAGAAACACATAAAAACTTGTATGTAAGATAAAGAACTTTTTTGAGGGGAAGACATAAAGGATTAAACCCAAGGACATTGCACTAAGCTACATCCTTTCTTTAAAAAATTTTTGGGGTTCAGGGTCTTGCCATGTCACTAAGTTGCCTAGGTTGGGCTCAAACCTTATGAACCTCTTGCCTGAGCCTCCCATATACTGGTGGTCTTCACCTAGCACTGGCTCAAAATAAAGACCTCTTAGAAATAGTTTTTAAGGGCCAGAGATTTAGCTCAGTGGTTTCGCCACCTGCTGCGCAAGCGTAAGGACCGGAGTTCGATCCCTGGTAAAAAAAAAAAAAAAAAAAGAAATAGTTTTCAAGACATTTCAGTAAAAATTATTTAAACAAAATCTGATTTGAGCAGATTTTTTGAACCACTACCACTGTTGAGTTTGATCTGCTCTACGTTATAGCCAACACTATTGGCAATCTTTTCCCACAGTTTACTTTGGGAAATTTAAACCCATGGGGGATGGTTGAAGGAGTTTTGTTTGTGGTTTTTTTTTTTTTTAGTTTCAGGTGTAGATAATGTGGTAAAATACAGTAATCTTAGGTATTCACTGTAAGTTTTGGAAAGTTAAGTACAAGTGCCACACCGAACAAGATATAGATTATATCCATGATGATCTGTATACTGGGTATATTACTTGCTATTGGGCTTGCAGATCCTCCAGTGAACATAATAAGGAAAATATACCGATAGCACTGTTCAAGTCCGTTACTAGAGGATTTCCGCATCTTTCTCCATGACATATATCAGACTCCCTGTCTCAAAGGGGGGAAAAAAAAGAATCGGGGATGTAGATTAGTGTGAAGGCCCTGGACTCAACCCCCAGTACTACAAGAAAAAAATGTTAAAGTCTTTAATTTGTTTTTTTTGGGGGGGTGGTACTGGGAATCAAATTCACGACCTTGCTCTTGCCAGGCAGGCACGGCACCACTGAGCTAAATCCCCAGTCCAAAGTCTTTAATTCTTTAAAAAAAAAAGAAGAGCATATTTTTAGGAGACCCCCCCCATAACCTAATGGCTAAGGCTTTTAGTTGTAGAGAGGTAATGAATAATTTATCTCATAGGCCTGTGATCTTTTTTTAAAATTAAGTTTATTTAAGCTCAGTTTTCCTCTATTATGTGAGACATTGGAATCATGTACATATTATTTATTCAATAAATGGTGATAGTTACTACAATAAAATTATGCCTACGTTTTATGTGGTAATTTTTTTAAAAGGGAAGACAAAAGGAAGTATGAGGAAAAAATGGACAATAAAGCTCAACTGATAGCAAAAACATTTATTTCTGTTTGATTTAATAATTCATAAATGACTTTTAATTGTGAAAAAACCTCATGCTACAAGAGAAATCAGTGGTAAGTCAAGATAGTTGTTACTTTACAAGAGCGATTTTAAAATTCTGTTCTAAATAGTTTATAAATTTTTTTTAGAACTATTACCTGCAATGTAGTCTAACTTCAGATTTTGTGATTTTTTTAGTTATTGGAAATATAAGGTCTGCAGTGGAAAATTTTTTTAATAGAAGTTCTTTTATAACTCATGATTCCTGTTGCCAGGCACTGAAGGATAGCACAGAAGTTGAAATTGTGGATGAGAAAATGAGAAAAAGGGTAGAACCAGAAAAATGGCCAATCCCAGGCCCTCCTCCACGAATTGTGCCACAAACAGATTTGTCTCAACTGATTGATTGTCCAGAGTTCGTACCAGGCCAAGCCTTTTGCTCACAATCAGGTAACAGCTTTTCTTCTAGAGCAAACAGTGTAACAGTGGGCTATTTGATCCATTTTACCTCTTTTTAGTCTATGTTTTGTAGGAAAATTAAAGATGACTAAATGACTTCTGATGCTCTAAATTTTATTTACATTACCTCCCATGCAGAGCTATAATTTAAATAGAGATCTACAAATTGTTGGTGAAGCTCTTATGTTTCTTTCTTTTCTTTTTTTTTTTTTTTTGGTACTAGGGATCGAACTCTGGACCTTGCGCTTGCGAGGCAGGCGGCGGAACCATTGAGCTAAATCCCCGGCCTGCTCTTACGTTTCTTGTTCTTAAATTATATGTGTATTTTGTAATGTATGGAGTTTCTACCTCTCTTTTCATTTTATTCAATGATTATAAATACATTGTTCCAGTTTCCCCCTTCTAAGACTGGAGTAGTCTAAATGTTTTATACTCTAGAGTGAGATATATGATGACCCATATTTTAAAGGAGAATTAGGGTTCTCTTTAATCTGGTTGTGTTTAGAATTTCCCCAAACTTCTTTAGTATTGAGAAACACTAGATCATTTTTAAGATGTTCCCTCTTGGGGAAAAAAAAATATGTGCTTAAACTTTTTTCAGTCAGGGTGGTGATCTTCCGATGCTCTTGGATGTCATTTGATCGGAATATCCAATGGAATAGGTGACTCACTGAAATGCCATTGTAAATATTGGGACAAATCGTGCTATGGAAGCGAAAGCAACCAGACTGTCTCCTGTACAACAGTGTCTACTCCCAACCCTCTGTGGAGGAGACTGGGCCAACACTACAATGGAGATAGCCACCTTTTCGATGATGATGTGAGACAGATCTGAGGACTGCTTGTACCATAGGAGCTGTCCATTTCTATGTAATTGGCCTGGGCTGCATGGGCTACCTTTCTTCATGGTGGGAAAGTTAATTATTATCATTGTGGAAATACTACAAGATTCTTTTGTTTCCAGGTATATGTACTTATGTCCAGATCAATAAAAAACAGGAAAAGAGGGGCCGGGGATTTAGCTCAGTGGTTCTGCCGCTTGCCTTGCAAGCACAAGGACCCAAGTTCGATCCCTGGTACCCCCCTCAAAAAAAACAAATCAAAACAGGAAAAGAGAGGACTGAGAAGCATTTCCCAAATTGTTAGGTCTTTTGGTATTTGATTTCAGTATAGTGTATGTTACATAATACACATTGTCATGGTGTTTCACGTGGACTATAGGATTTATTGATGTGGACAACTAAGGGCAAAGAAACTTAAATGAACAAGGGAATTTTTTACTTTACTATTGGAAATCTATTTTTGATAACATTAATATGAGAGACCTGCCCATTGATAAAACATTAATGATGGACCGTCTCACAGATATTTTTATCTCATGTTACTATCTCATATTTTTTTGTCAACTCTCTGCCTCTAATCCCAGTAAGAAACTTGCACAAGTGTTTTAAAAGTTGAAGAAAAATGATACTGTTTTAGTTTAGTTTTTAGCTTTTTAAAAAGATGTAATGGCTGATTGTATAAATTAGAATTATTTATTGTATAAACATGGGGTCCAGCATGACATTTTTAACCATCATATGAACAATTATTGGTAAGATGGATAATATAGAAAATATTTTTTTCCACAGGCTAGTGAAGTCAGTCAAGTTGGTGATGCCTGTCCATTAACCATTTATGTCTTATTAATAAAATTACATTAAAATTATGTTTTGTACATTTGTGTTTTTTTAACATACACAGATGCATACAAATACTATTATATACATAAACAAGTTAGTGCATAGTAGAATATCAAATATTAGGTTCTATATATTATACATCAGAATCTACTAGTGCATAAAGAAATATAGATGGAAATATTTTTTAGAATCACACCTGTTCATACTGTCATAGGAATAAATATGTAAATCACCCTTTCCCAGGAATCTCCAAATTTCTGACCTTCATAGTCCCTTGCTTGTACTAAGAAAGCCTAGTTCCCTAAAATCAATGGAGAAGTTGAATGTCAGCAAAAATTTGAAGTGGAAACAAGATAGAAAGTGTAGACCATATTTATAGGTAAAGAAAAGCAGTAAAACTCTTATCTACATCTGTTAATCTCAATTTAGAAGACCTTAAAATTTTTTTAAGCCCATAATTGTATGATAAAATATTTTTAACATAATTGAGCCTCTTCATCAGAAAAATTAAAATTTCTATTTTTCCCTCTCTGGAGGTTGAATTGTGTAACTTGACATGTGCACTGAGCAGAAGACCTTAATGCACCACAAAAGGTTGATAATGAGAACGGTTAAGATTCCTTTTGAAATGCAGGGTCTGCTGTGCTGTGGATATGATATTGCACAATCTACCCGTAAATAAAAGAATTTCATCAGAGTTGAAAAGCCAGGCACCCAAAATCAATCTTGATTTTGGGGGAAGGACTTTTTAAAAAAATGTATGAGAAGATCTAATTATTAAATAAGCTGTGGGATTTCCTTTGGAAACTTCATATGTAGAAATGTTCTGAAAATGTTACACATAAAATACACAGTCCTTTGAAAGAAACCTTTGTAATCAACCAGAGCTGAGGTCCTTCCAAGGTGGAAAACAAAGCAGTACTAGATAGTACAAATTTATGGTGATTTATTTTTGGAGAGCCAAGTTGACAATTTTCATTTAATAAAACCAGCAAAGATCAGTTTTGTATAAGTTTTTTAATCTATATAAGTTTAATGTCAGATAATCTAAATCATATTAAACTCATTTAGACTTGGAAGATTAGGAGTTTGCTATTCTTAAACTTTACAGTTGTGGCTGAGCATGGTGATACACACTTGTGATCCCATCACACAGGAGGCTGAGGCAGGAGGATCACCACGAGCTCAAGGCTAGCCTGAATTACATAGTGAGATCCTGTCTCTCAAAATCAAAAACAAAACTTTACAAATGTATGGTTTGAAATATTTTCTATTATAAAAGAAAATATAGGTACAAAAAACCTAGGAGATATGTATAGCTTTTTTACTTTAATTTTTAAAATTTTTTCTTAGTATATGTTTGCAGTATGTGGTGATTACATTCATTATGGGGAGTCGGTACATGTTCATAACACATAATTCTTTTTACATCCCTTTCCCCTGTGTATAGCTTATCATTAAATACTTTTAAAGTCTCACTGTAAGACTGTTGTAAATTTTTTTGTCTTCCCAAATTTTTTAGTGTTTTAATATTCCATTTTCTAAGCACATGTAAATATAATCACCCACATGGTAGAAGCATAATTCATGGTTAAAGAAAATTTAGATATTATTACATAATAAAGTATTAGGATGTTAAAAGATTAAATTTTTGCATTAAAGACAGTAGCTTTTGATTTTCCTACTGTGTGCTAGGTGCTGTTCTTATTTATACATGTATGTTGTAATTTAGTTAATCTTCATATATGGAACTGAATCAGTACATATACTAGGATAGAGACTGTTTGCTTTTAAGGTTTTATTCACTGTATGGATAGAGATAACTCATAGTATTAGAACATTTCTCCATTACTATAACTTTGTGAGTATGAAAGTCTATCCTGTGTTTTATACAACTTTTGTTAATGAGTTGGTAATAGATGGACCATTAGTTTAGAAAGTTGTAGCTTGCTATGTTAATGCACACCTATAAACAAGCCTAGGCAATTTAAACTCTGTCTGAAAATGAAAAGTTGTGAGTGTAGCTCAGAGGTAATGTACTTGCCACCATGCATGAGGGCCCAGGTTCTATCACCAGCACTGAAAAAGGGAGGGGTTTAGAATAGCAGCCTCCAATAGAAATATGTGAACCATATAAATAATTGAAAATTCAAAATTAATTTTTCAATAAATATTACTTTAGTGCTGAAGGTGGATCCTATCTCATGCATGGTAGGTGAACACTGCTGTTGAGCTTTATCCCCAAAATCCTCTAGATATTTTAGAAAGATGTCATGGTGTCATTCACCTCTCAGCACTTGGAAGCCCAAGGCAGGAAGATCACTGGGAGTTCAAGACCTACATAATTCCACGTCAGTCTGGACTCATAGTCCAGACCTATAGTTAGGACCCTATGCCCAAAAGATTTTAGGGTGAAAATATAAACTTCACTTTAAGAAAGATATTTATAAAGAAAGCAATTTGAATTTTACTTATAGAATATGTGATTCTTTTGATTAAAATCTGGCAAAAAATGCAGCTGGGTGTGGTGGCTCACACCTGTAATCCCAGCAGTCAAGGCAAAAAGATTGCCATGAGTTCAAGGCCAGCTTGAACTTCATAGTGAGACCTTGTCTCAAAAAAAAAACAACAAAAACCCAAACAACCCCCCCCCCCAAAAAACCACCACAAACTGGCAAAAGTGATAATGTTGAGAAGAAAGACCTTTTAAATTACAACAGTTTTTATTTAGTTAGTTCTGAGGATTGATCTTAGGGTCTTTGCACTGAGCTATATTCCTAGCTATTTTTTTTCTTTGAGACAAGGTCTTCTTAAATTGCCCAGGTTAGGCCCAAATTTTTTGTTCTCCTGACTCAGCCTTGCGCATCTTGGGATTACAGGCACGTACTACCCCGTCAGGCCTGCACTCTCACCCTCCCTCTTGGGAGCTGAACCCAGGGCCTTCACACCAAGCTACCTCCCCAGCCCTTTGTACTTTGATTTTTGAATGCTAAGTTGTTCAAGCTGTTATCAAACTTGTGATCCTCCTGGCTCGGTCTTTCAGAGTGCTGAGATTGCAGGTGTGTGCTGTCATGCCTGACCTACAGTTTTCCTTTTAAAATTTCTAAACTTTATCCCTCAAGCTTCATACTGTAATGTAGTCACATTTTATGCTTTGCATTGTTCAGTATGAGCCAGGGTAGTAAGGGGGCATGCTCATTTAGTGCATTCCGGCAAACTTTTTAAAGTGAAGAAAACGTGAAAAGTAGGAGTAATGGTTGTTCTAGATTGTAGTCAGTGAGGGATAGTTTTACCTTAAGTAAAATACGTATTTAGACCAAATGCCTTAACAGCAATTGAGAGTCCATAATTAAAATTTATAGGTTTTAATCAGTTTCACAGATAACTTGATTCACAAATGATTTACCAACATAATTAATGACTCACATTGACATTCTTGAGAAATTTGAGTGTGGTGGTCTAAGTGAGGGTTGGTGATGATACTCCTTTTGTTTATTATTCAGTGGCTATTCTTTTGAATAAATATTATTAAAAGAACTTTATGTTTGAAAAATCTCTGGGAAGATTTTAGTTGAGATTGATTTGTCAATGTGTTTTGTGAAAAAAATACCAAGGAACAAATGAAATGTTTAAATAGGAAAACCTGTTATTTTAACTGTAGAACTAATTTAAAATTTTAGAGACTATCCCAAATTCTCCAAGAATTGGAAGTCCCTTGATTCCAAAGAAAAATACTGAAACAAGTAGTCTTCAAGCAATGTTTAGAGGTTTTTCTACCGGTTTACCTGACTTGGATTCAGAACCTTGGATAGAAGTAAAGAGGCATCACCTGTCCCCAGTCAAATTAAAGGTAAGTTGTTATAAACCAGGTGCAATGTGATACCCTCTTGGTTGAGTGTAAGGTCAGGGACTTTTCTGTTTGTCAGGTATACATGCTGGAATTGCAGGAGTGTGCCACTGGCTCAGTGTGCACTTTAACATCCTAAAGTCCCTTTCTCAAACTCTTTGTAAAGATGCTAATTAATTTCTACAATTTGTCAGGGTAAACTTTTGTTGAAGTGGCTTAGTTTTTGACAACAATGTCAATGTACTACTTTTTTTGTTTTTTAAGGCAGGATCTTGCTGTGTATTTCAAGCTAGTATTGAACTCACAAGCCCAGACTGATCTCAAACCTCATGATGATCCTCCTGCCTCACCCTCTTAACTGCTGGGATTACAGGTGTGCACCATCATGCCTGGTTGTTGTCAGTGTACTTTTTTTTTTTTTTAAGAAAAATATTGATACATTTTAGGCATACATAATAACACTCATTGTAGGGAATTTGTACCCTTAC